TATTTGTATAAATTTATAAAACAAGTTGTTTTAGCTTATATATAACTCTTTTCCATTACAAATTAGCCAAAATTTAAAACTCTTAGAACTTTAAACACTTGAATTGTGAAAAAACTGATTTGTTTCTTTTTGTGACATTTTATTGGATAAGCATCAGAGCAAGATTGAAATTGGATTCAACAATAGTTTGTTTTAAAACTCAGCATTGCAATTGCTTATTTTAAAATAGTTATTTCATTTCATTTAATAGTTTTTATAATAAATTTATTGCTTCAATGAACAAAAGCCTATTAACAAAAGTCTAACTTTTTCAACATTTTTTTTTTACATCCCTGCTAAACCAAAAATGAAACTGATTCTTATAAAGAATGACAAAAATGTAATAATTGTTATTCAACTGTTCTTCTTTTTCCATCAAAAGTTCTGCTTTGAAATTACTTCGATCATTTACCCACACACACGTGTGGTTTTGCAATGATTATTGTTTTTGAATATATATCTACTCAAAAAACTTAAAACAGTTATTAAATTAATAATTTTAAATCTTATTCATTAAATAATCATAATAGTTACAGAAAACAATCAGAATAGTTACAGAAAAGCCATTAGCAATAGCTTAAAACTATTTGATGATTATTTCCATTTTACTTATGATTATTTCCAGAAAGAAAAAAGGAAAAAATAAATAAAAAAAAGCTATTTGATGTCACTTACAATCATTTCCATAAGAAAAAAGTAAAACAAAAAAATCTTTAAAAAAATCTTTCAAACTAACATAGGATTGTGGCAAAAACCCAACTAAAGTTTTCCATGCTCAACTTTTGGTTAAAATTATTTAAAATTTTAATTATTTAAAATTATAGGATATAATAGGATCCCAATGTAGAAACAATTTAACCACATAAACATGAACTTCATAACCAGAATTTTTCTATGAGTTTGCTAATTTGGTATCTGTAGGGGCTTTTGAAACTTAATATATATTAAAAATCAATTTATTTAGTTTTATATATGGATCTTAATTATTTATTTATATAATATAGTTTATTTATTCATATAATTTTTGAGAAATTTTGATATCTTTATATGTGTGTATCTATCTGTGACAGCCAGTTATTAAATATATCCTCAAGTTAAGATTGATGTTTTAGTGCTATTCAAGAAATATTTTGGTTATCAATAATATAATATCTTATTTATTTTGTAGATGCATATTATATATTATATAGATGATTATTCTTGGTTCTTATTATATTGTTTAACTATCTATAATTTTATTTGCTTGAATATAGTTTAAAAATACACAAATAAAAAAAAAATTACATAAAATATCTAACTAAAAATTTTATGTCTAAAAGTGTCTATGTTGGCACTTACGATCATTTCCATTAGAAAAAAGTAAAACAAAAAAATCTTTAAAAAAATCTTTAAAATCAACATAGGGTTGTGGCAAAAGCCCTGCTAAAGTTTTATTTTTTCTTGAGTGGCACCTGTTTGCTTCTGTTTGAGTGACACCTTCTTTTTCAAATAATTTTTTATATTTATTATTATTAGTTATAATTTATTATAATTGTATTGATTGTATTGTTATAGATAATATTATTATTATTATTGTTATTATATGATTATATGTAAATTTTGGAAATGAAAATAAATATCTTGTTGTTGCTTTGTTAACTTATAAACCTATATATTTTTCAATTGTTATTCAGAAGAGTAGTAATACTTTTTAACAAGATTTTTTTATTATTATTCTGATTTACTTCCAGAAAGGCTGCAAGCAATCACTATTAAACTAGGAGTTACTAGGAAAAAAATTCAATAGAATTATAGAGCATGGAAACAGTTAACAGAAGACTTGAAAAAATGTAGCTCGCATGAGTCAGGAAAGCATGAGGATGGGAGAGAGTTCAAAAGGCTTGTAGTGCGGGGGAAAAAAAAAATTTTTTAAAGCCTGTAGGGACAGATATAGTAAACAAATAAAACTTAGCTGAATGATGAGTCAAGAGATAATAAGTTATAGTTGATGGAACTAGGCATGATAGCTCCTTCGAGCAGCAACCATGGTAGTATTTGAAGAAAAGAGAAAGAGATGCATTTTTACGATGATGGCAAAGCTTAGCATATAGAGCTGATCCATCTATGTTGTGATCATCTAAAATGCCTTTTTAGACCTTGTTTAGAAGAGAAAGAGCATCATTAGAAGAACCAGCCCAGATATGATAACAATATTCTGTACAGGAACGAATAAGAGATTCGTAGAAGTAGAGAATAAAATTAGAAGTAAGAAAATGGCAACCATGATGAAGAGAAGCAACCTAAGCGGATACTAATTTAGCAATCGATTGTATATATGGTTTCAATTAAAGGTCAGTATTAAACAATAATCCTAGAAGATGTAAAAAAGAGGACTCAGTGAGAGGGTAGCTATTCATTAATATATAAATGTTGACAGTATTGTGATAGTTATTTGCAATAAATAATTGAGTTTTGTTGGAGTTAAAATTTTAAGCCACTGCAAGCCCCAATCTGTAAAAGAAGTGAGATCAGATTCAAGATCGGCTGCCTGTTCTAAGTGATTGAAAAGAGAAGATTTTTGTCTAGACAGTATAAAGTTGAGTCATCAGCTAAATAGTGATTAGATTAACTTCTAACTGAGTTGTTTACTCAGTTAGAAGTTAACTTCTAACTGAGTTGTTTGAACTTTTAACAGAATTAATTGAACTTTTAACTGAATTGTTTGAACTTTTAACTGAATTGATTGAACATTTAACAGAATTGATCGAACTTTTAACTGAATTGATTAAACATTTAACATAATTGATTGAACTTTTAACTGAATTGATTGAACTTTTAACTGAATCGATTGAACTTTTAACTGAATTGATTGAACTTTTAACTGAATGGATTGAACTTTTAACTGAACTGATTAAACTTTTAACTGAATTGTTTGAACTTTTAACTGAATTGATTGAACTTTTAACTGAATTGATTGAACTTTTAACTGAATCGATTGAACTTTTAACTGAACTGATTGAACTTTTAACTGAATTGATTGGACTTTTAACTGAATTGATTGAACTTAGCACATTCAAGAGAAAATTAATGAAATAATAGATACTGTTATCTAAAAAAAATCTTTTAGTGTAAAATAATTTAAAATTTAAAATAAAAAAAGATAATGTTCATACTTCTTCTTACTTGCACTCCCCTACTTCATTCTTTTCATTGAATTTTGATTTCCTATATATTTGATTAAGTTTCATTAATTTAATCTTAATTTAATCACTATTTTAAAAATATTTAAGTTGTTTTAAAACAAAAAGAATTGCAAGAATTTCTGGTGTTAGTATATATTTATAATATGTTTACTTATTACTTGTTTTTATTTTGTAAAGGTGATCTCATGTTTTAAGTTTGTTTAAATCAATTTTTAAAAATTTATCAAAAAATAAATTATCAAAAATACTTATATATTTAGCTTATAATAATGAATATGACTATTTCTGAAAATAAGTAATATTGTATACTTAAAATAGAACTTAAAATTTAAATAGAATTAGTGCATTAACTTGATTTGATTATTAAACATTTATAATTTTATTGTAAATGCTAAACTTTCTTGGAATACTTTTCTGTTAAACCAATATAAAAAAGGTAAAATTCTATGCCTCTGTAGTTTCAACATACATTAAATGTTAATTTAATCTGCGTTTAATAAATATTTTGTCTAGTTCATGCATAATGAATATTTTTGTCTAGTTCATGCATACAATTTTGTTAATGATTTCAAGTTGATACCATTAGTTTCTATTATAAATATCTCCTCAATAATTTTTTCTTGATACTTTTTACAGGAATTATTTGTGAAGGATGAATGGATATTGTATGAGCAGATAATATCTTTAAAAACTGTTATATAGATTTTGATAAAAAGTAAATTTACCATGTTTTTAAAAGTAACAATAAATATCGAAAAGCTGAATAAAATCTCGATAAAATTTAAGTGGTGTTAAGCTTTTTCAAACTAAATGAAACATTGACTTTGAATATTAAATGAATTTACATGTTTTTGGCAAAATACTGTCAAGATACTCTCTAAAAAATTGCCCAAGCAATTCAAAATGCTAATAGAAAATATAAAAGAAAAGCTGTTGAAGAAGAAGAAGAGAAGAGAAAATATAATGTTCATAAGATAAAAATTAATGTGTGTGTGTGTATATACATATATATATATATATATATATATATATATATATATATATATATATATATATATATATATATATATATATATATATATACACACATAAATTTTTTTTTCTTTTATTATTTGATAGACTGCCTGCCCAGAGCAAACCCTCAGTCGATGTAGCAGCACTTCTTTGCGAGTCAGGCTATTTGTCAATCTATGTAGTAGCACTCCGTTGCGAGTCAGGCTATTTGTCAGTCGATGTAGCAGTACTGGGCCTGATATATGTGTGTGTGTATGTGTATATATATATATATATATATGTATATATATATATCAGTGGCGGATTTAGGTTTAGTGTCGCGGGGGGGCCAAGTCCATATATAGGGGCGACCAGGGTTGCCTACAGTAATTTAATCTTATATATATATATATATATTAATTGTTTTAGGGGGCGCCGTTAGACCGTTCTAGGGGGGCGTGGGGGGCAGATCGCCCCCCCCCCCCCCACGCCCTATACTAAATCCGCCACTGATATATATATATATATATATATATATATATATATATATATATATATATATATGTATATATATATGTATATATATATATATATATATATATATATATATATATATATATATATATATATATATATATATATATATATATATATATATATATATATATATATATATATATATATATATATATATATATATATATATATATATATATATATATATATAGGGACTCTTTAGTATATATCATTTTATATTATCAAAAAAATGTTTTTTTTTTTAAATAGGGTCTCTAATAGTGAAGTTACACATTCATTTCAATAATAAAAATAATCATCTTATCAAAAAATTGGTTTTGGTAAGATGATTTTTTAATTTGTTTTTTTGCTTTTGAATTGATTAAATAAAAACTTACTTAAACTTGATCTAAATTTAAATCAATCTTTGATTCAAGTTAATCTTTATTCAAGTTAAGGACTTCTAAATATATTTTTGTTAAAAAAAATTCAATTCAGTGTTAGTAATTATATAAAACGCATTGAGGGGTGTTCATAAGGCATTAAAAAAAATTTATGAACCTTTCTCCTCCCTTCATATTATATGTATGTGCATGTGTGTTAAAATGTATATAAAAATATAAAGTTGTTTATAGAAAAATAAAATGGCAGCTTATAATGAAGACTTTGTAAAGCAATTTTCGTCACTGCAAATGGGGTCGTCGCATAAGTCATTGCATACGAATCAAGATTCAGATAGTGTTTTAGTCAACATTTTGCTACATATACTTAAAGAAACCAAGGTTCCAGTCAGTTTATCTTTTTTAAATGTAACTTTTAAATCATCAGGTTTGACTTGGATAATCTCAGAGAATTTTTTACTGAAAAGACATGATATTTTTGCGTTATCAATTTTAGGTAATGATTTAAAATTATGTTTACGAAAAACAAATGAGATATTTGAACGAACAGATGACGGTTTAAACATAATTGGTAGTATTAACAAAGATCTCACTTTAATCTCACGTATTCAAAATGTGCTTCAAAATCCAATACCATTTGATGAATTTTGCCAGAAATATAATTCCAACAAATATAAAGTAAATTTGGCCTTCATTGTACGTAATAGTCATGCTTTAAGACTATCTTTAGTTAATGGTATCACATATATTAATTTAAACAAAAATGGATTTTATTCTGATATAAATGAAGATGATATATGGGGTTGTCTCAGGAGCGATGGGTTTAAAACAATCTTTGTTAGATGCCTAAAAGGATTGCTTGAAAACTTCTTTGAACCTGTTCAACTGGGAAATCTACAGAGTTGCTTTAATTATGGTGGCTGGGTAATCGATAAAAGTTTTTTAAAGGCACATTCTGACATTTTTCTGGGGGATGGTATCAGGGGAATAACATTAAACAAAAATAAGTTTGAAAACAAAAATTTATCATCACATAATGACGAGCCAATCAGAAAAACTCTATCGTCACATAATGAAGTGCCAAGCAGAAAAGATATGTTTGAAAACAAAAACTCCTCACCGTGTAATGAAGTGCTTTGCAGAAATGATGCGGAAACAAATTTAAAATCTCATTTTCAAAAAGCTCTTGTAGATTTTGCTTTGCAGCATGACTCATCGATTGTTGTTTTAGGATCATCAAATCAACAACCTCCTTTGATAGTTGAAGCCTTAGGAAGTAATAACACAGTAAAACGATTAACAGCTTTGTGTTCCATAAGAGATTATTTAAATAAGGAAATTGAAAAAGAGTTGGCTAATACAAGGAATGAAATAAATTAACTTATAATCTTTTTTAATATGTGACATCAAGCATCATGGTCTTTGTGTGTGTGTGTGTGTTTAAATTGTGATTAAAATTTCCAATGAATCCGTATATTGTATGTGATGTTATTTATTGTGTTAGGTGTATAAATTAGAGGTGTGATATTAGATGTGTGTCATAATCATATTGCAATATGCAGGAATAACCACATTGCTACATACTTTATAATATTGAAATTTGGTTGATATATTGATTCAAAGTGAGTAGGACTCCTTATTTACTGCACTTAAAAACAAACGTATTTAACATGACTTGCAGACATCGTGACAGTGAACTTGATTTTTTAAATTTTAAATTTTTTATAAAATTGGATTATGTATATAAATTTTATATAAGTTTTGTTAAAATTTTTTTATAGTTTTAAAGTATGCTTTTTATAATTTTAAATACATCAAGGATTGCTGCAGCTTTTTTTGATACTTGAGAACAATAAATTTCAGACATGGAGCAAACTTCAAACTAAGATATGTTTACGCCTATATCAAACAAGAGCAATTTGTAAAATATTGCAGTGTTTGGAGACTGGGTACAATAAAAACCCCAAAAATTCATGACCCATTCGTTTAAGGGGTTTGGGAACTTAACATGGTTTTGAATTTCGAACACTAAAATATTATAAGATGAATTTTGAAATCTGTCGGTGAATATAAATTCAATTAATATAAAGAATAGTAGTAGTATAAAACTCAGTATCATCCTTACATTTAGGTTGAAAATGAGAGCACAGTTTTAAGGCTTTGTTTCTCAGGCACCGATTGCTGTAATTTTTCGCAAAGCATTTTTGCTAAAAGCACAACAAAGCAAATTTGATAAAACATAAACATACCCAAATTTGAAACTTGCTTTGTCTAAAAAAAAAATTTCTATCATCAAAAAAGCTACCGCGATCCCTTAACATAGACCAGAAGTACGTTGAAGTATCCGACGTATCTATGTTATATAACATAATACTGAGTTTTTAACTCGTGGATTTTTTTTTTCTTTCTAATATTTAGTTAAAGAGATAGAGAACGAGAGATAGTCAAACTGCGTACGTACTCGCTGTTTTTAACAATCCGTCCTATACGCATCCGTACGTTTTTGGGCAACTCCCCTCCCCACATACCGTGTGTACTTTATGGAAAACCAATATGTCTATTTTTAAAAATCGGTTAATAAATTTATGCTTTTTAATTAAAAAAATGCACTCTTAGACTTTTAACGTACTTTAGACGTACTTTTTTGTCTATAATAATTCGTTTTTTAGAATGTGACGTCATTATGTTATTTACATGTTTTTTGTATCTGATTTGTAACAATTTGTAAATCTAAATATATAAATGTTTTGAAAATTTTTTTAAATGTAAAGGACTTTATATGTATCCAGATTAGGGTGTGTCATACTATTTTTTTTTTCCTGATTGAAAACCCTGTATTCTAAAAACTTGTATTTATATATAATTTTACTAAAAAAAGCTTAGAATTAAAAATCAGAAATGATTCAGCTACCGGTAATTTATATTTATTATTCACTTTAATTCGCGGAAAATTTCTTACTAGAATAGCAAATTTTTGGTAGTAAATTTTATTTTTTTTTTACTTTTTTAAAATTATTATTATTAAAATGTCTATAATAGTTTCCGTTTATAATCATTTTTCTATCATTTAGTTTTTTATTTAATAAAAATAGATTTTTTTTATAATTTTTTTTTAACAAAAAAAAATTTACATTTTTCTTTTTTTTGTCTTTAAATCAAATCTTTCTTTGATCGAGTAGAGATCAATTCTCTCGATAAGTTCTGCCTTCTTATAAAACCATCTCTTTTTTCTTGAGAATAAACTTTGCTTGCTGCGTCTGTTACCTGTTTAACTCGTCTTTTAATTGACTGTCCATGACAAGGCCAATTTAGAATAATTATAGGCTGAAATATTATCTGTTTTACTTCTTCTGTTGTCAAATCACAAGTAAGAATAGGCTCATAGGATATATTCCAGTCGATTCGCTGTATAAGTGTTGTTGCATCAGGTTTTATTTCTGGAGTTATTTTAGCTCTCGCATTTTTATCACCAGTTTGAAGTTTTTCATCAAGACCTCTGATTTTTACAATTAACTCTATACCGTTCTTTCTTTCCTCTACATTCTCTGAGCAGAGCATGGTCTATATAATGCACTCAGAGAAAGCATACCACGCTGAACGCCAAAAATCAAACTCTGCAAAGTCTGTTGGGTGTTGTCAATGATCTGGAATTATTAAGTGGCCCAATTTCAATTAAAGCAAAGTCTGCGGGTATATTTCCACCTCTAATAGCAGAGACTATTTTATACCTATAAAACTGATTGGAAGATAAGTTTTTGATTGCTTCATCATTTAGAGTAATAAGCAGATTTTCGACATTAATTTTTTCAAAGGATGGATTAATTTCCAGAGAAGTTGCGTCATTCAATAATTTTCCAATGCTGCCTTTCCATTTGATATTATTCAGAGTCGCTCTATTAAGAGTTGTTATCAGATGACGCAGAGAAAGTTCATTAGTATGGAGCGCGCAAACCAGCCAATTTAGCTTTCTTCCTAATTTTACTTCCAGCTAATGTATTGTTCCACCTGACCACCCTGTGTTAACACTAGTAGAATCACCGCCAATCGCTGTTAAGCTTTTATCGGCACCATTACTTTACAAAAATGCGTATATATTCTGAGCAATTTTCATGTTTTTGAACTTTTTCAGGTGAGAAATGGAAATGATACCTACCACCGGGCTCTTGACATACTGTATAATATTCCTCTTTGATTGTAGCAGGATAACATTTAGACGAACCTTCGACTACTAATTGAACTATTGTATTATCAATTCTGCCATCAAAAAAAAAACACAATCAATAACGGTAGACCTACATTGAGTATCAAACTTTCTAGAAAGAGACTGCATAATTTTTTCTTGAGCTCTCTTGACGTTTGCTGTGGTCAATAACCAACTTGGCATCATCTTCTTTAACTATTCCTGCGTCCATCCAAGTTGCCGTTGCAATTGTAGCTGTTTCCCGTAAGCCTGTACCATACCGTATGCCTCATAACGTTATGTTGTAAATACTTATATAATTCCTTTGTCCTCGTAAACGTTCCTGATCTTCATTCTGCCGACACATTAGATTGAGTTCAGTATTGCTGTTTGTTGTGAAACATTCATTACTAAATAGTTCATTTGTTTCGCCAAAATCAGGTTCAAACTTTCCTTCCTGACTTGATGTTATGTAAAATATTACAAAAATATTAAGTAAAATATTAAGCTTACAATACTTTACAAAACATCAATTAATGAAAATTCATTCATAACAATGAAGCCCATATTAACTGTACGTGCGAAAAGAAGAAAAAGATTCCAAAGAAAGAGTTAGTTTTTATACATGGGCAAAGAGCTAAAATAGGGACTGCCAGTCCACATCAAATTGGATTAGCTGACTTGAAAAAAAACAAAAAGCTACATAAAACTGGAGAAAGATGATTGAAGGAAGAAGTAAGATTTTTTAAATTTGTTATGTTTTTAATTAGTAATTATTTAATAAAGAAAAATTAATTAAACTCTAAGGTTAAATTAATTTTAGTTATATTACAAATACATCTGCCTGTTTCAACTTAAAAATAACAAAATCTAATTTAATTCAAAATGAAATTTCTTTTTACTTATATTAGGAAATGACAAATAAAAAATACATTCATAAAACTATTTGTACTTATATGAATATATTTTCATAAATATCATGAAAATATATAATGAAAATATTTTTTTTTTTCGGGAGTAAGGCGTGTTTTAAGTAAATAAAAAAGCAATGGAAATCACAATGAAAAACATTGAAATACTAATATCAAATAAATTAGATGAACATAGGAAAAGTATTTTAAAGGAAACAAAAAAGCTACTCAAGGAACAAGAGAAAACTTTTACTTTATTTGTAAGTGGCAACCTTAAAATCATATCAGATAAACTTAACATGTGAAATTGCAGTGAAAGAAATCTTTAATAAAAATCTTAAAATATCAAGCGAAGTGGTTATTGAAAGAGCCCATCGAATTGGCCCAATTAATAATAAAAAACCTAGAATAATAGTATTAAAACTCTTAAATTTCCAGGATAAAAACAAAGTCCTTAATGCTGTAAAAAATCTTAAAGGAACTGGTGTGTATATTAACGAGGACTTTTCGCAAGAAACGATTGAACAACGAAGGAAACTTTGGGAAGAGGTGAAACGACTTCGAAGTGAAGGTAAATACGCCATTTTAAAATATAATAAAATATTTAGTCGAGATTTTAAAAAGTAGCGATGCGTATTTTTCTTAATTTTTGTTTTTGTTTTTTCTTTCAAAGCGCTTTTAATTTCTCATTTTAAGCATAATGAAAAACGAAACAATAGATTTTGAAACGCTGCACTTTAATGTCTTCGAAACTGCAAATAATGTTATACTCAACGATTTGAATGACGCAGATGCGCAGATTTTTCACGGAATAAATTTTGATTCTCAATATTTTGAAACAGAAACTTTTAAAACTGAACTTACAACTTTAAGGAATAAATTCACTGCATTACACATAAATATAAAAAGCATAAATAACAACATTGATAAGCTTAAGCAATTTCTAACCGAATGCAATTATTTATTGAGTATGATTTGTTTAACCGAGACATGGTGTTCTAACGAATTGTCCAGAATAAATTCAAACTTAGAAATTCCTAATTACAAATAATATCTTCTGAAAGAAAAACTAACAAAAGGGGGAATTATTAACTATAAAAGGGAATTATTAACTATAAAAAGGGGAATTATTAACTATATTCGAACTGATCAAGCCACCAAATATAGACATGACCTTTCTACCTCAGATGCCGATAGTGAAGTCTTTACAATTGAGATAACAACAAATAACAAATCAAAAAACTTATTAGTCTCCACATGTTATAGACCGCCTGATAGTGGTATAACAAAATTTTCTAGTCATTTAAAACAAATTTTTTATAAAAATAACAATGAACAAAAAAAAGCTATTTTGTATTGGAGACATTAACATTGATTGCTTACAATACGATAAACATGCCAAAACTAAACTTTTTTGACGAAATGCTCCAACATTACATCTTCCCAATTATTAATAAGCCGACTCGGGTAACTCAATCATCAGAACGTCAATAGACAATATATTAACAAATACAGTTCTTGATGTTACTTTAAAAGCAGGTATTATAAAAACAGATATATCGAATCATTTTCCGATTTTCTTTTCTCTGTCACACAATAGAAAAACTACTAACGACTGTAAAATTGAAATTCATAAAAGGAAAATTAACAAATATGCTATTCAACAATTTAAAGAATCACTATCGGCAATAAACTGGGATAAAGTATACCAAGAATGTAACCTTGGACCCACCAACTCTGCTTACACTAATTTTGAAAACATTTTTTTAAAAAACTATAATAAATATTTCCCAATAAAAGTAATGCTAGTAAAAGAAAAACATCTAAATTGTCCGTGGATCACCAAAGGAATTAAAAAATCTTCAAAAAAAACACAAAAACTTTATATCAAATACTTAAAAAATAGAAATGAAGCAAACCTAAATGCTTACAAACAATATAAAAACTTGTTTGAAAAAATCAAAAAGATTTCAAAAAAGAATTATTACTCAAATAAAATAAAAAACTCCAAAGGTGATATTAAAAAAACGTGGGACGTAATTAAAGATATAATTGGTAACAAAAACTGCAAACCAAATAGTTTACCTTCTAAAGTTGTTATAAATAATAAAGAGTATGTCAGTAGTGACGTAATCTCAGAAAAGTTTAATAATTTTTTCGTCAACATAGGCACTAACCTGGCTACAAAAATTAATTGTCCAAACAACTCATTTGAGACATACTTAACTAATAACAACGACGAATTAGCATTTAGCGAACTAAAAATTGAAGAACTTGAAGTTGCGATAAAATCTCTTAAAATAAATAAATCTCCAGGTATAGATGATATTTGTAGCAATATCGTTATCGATGTCTTTTTGGAGATATGCAAACCGATCTTCGAAATATTTAAATCATCAATTGAAACAGGTGCTGTACCAGATAAATTTAAATCAGCTAAAATTATACCAATTTTTAAAACAGGCGAATCATCTTTATTAAATAATTACAGACCGATCTCTATGCTGCCTACTTTCTCTAAAATACTTGAAAGAATAGTTTACAATAGATTATGCGAATATCTCCTTCAAAATGCCATTTTTATGGCATTTTGAAGGAGATATTCGCATAATCTATTTTCTTGTAAATAGCATGAGTAATTCTTTCGATAAAAAGCAATTTGTATTAGGGACTTTATAGATTTATCTAAAGCGTTCGACACAGTTAATCACAATATCTTACTTAAAAAAATGGAAAGATATGGTGTTAAAAATATATCCTTTGACTGGTTCAAAAGTTACCTGAGTAGCAGAAAACAATGTGTTGTTACAGATCATAATAAATATTCAGACCTACTAGAAATAAAATGCGGAGTTCCCCAAGGTTCCATTCTGGGTCCCCTTTTATTTCTAATATATATCAACGATCTTCCAAAAGCCCTAAAAAAACTTGAGGTAATAATGTTCGTTGATGATACAAATTTATTTTACTCATCACCGTCTATAAGCGACCTTTACGAATCTATGAACGCTGACCTCGAAAACCTCAACATCTGGTTTAAAGTTAATAAATTATCTTTGAATACAGAAAAAACAAAATATATCTTGTTTCACTCCAACCTTCTTAAAAACTTTATACCAGACACTCTACCTTCACTAAAAATTGATAACATAAACATCAAAAGAACTGAAATAATTGGAATAATTATTGACCAGAATATTAATTGGAAAGCCCATATTAATACAATAAACACAAAAATATCAAAAAGTATCGTCGTACTCTACAAAGCCAAACCTATGCTTTCCAAAGACAACTTAAAAATTCTCTTCTTTTCTTATATTCAAAGTTACCTAACATACGCTAATATTGCATGGGGAAGTACCCATAAAACAAAATTAAATTCACTTTACATACATCAGAAACATGCATCAAGATTAATTTATAATAAAGATAAATTCACTCATGCCGACCCTTTACTTAAAAATTTGAATGCATTAAATATCTATCAAATAAATATTTACCAAAATATCTTATTCATGCTAAAATACAAACTCGGACTTGTTCCGAATTACTTTACTGATACCTTTTTTCATATCAACGCAAACAAATATATCACACGAGGAACAGGCAACTTCACCCTGCCTTTAAAAAAACCAAAATTCTCGCGATTTTCTTTAATATACCGTGGCCCATACTTACATAACAAAATAATACTTCAAAATATGGAACTTAATAAAATGGATAACCTTATTGCTCTGAAAAAAAAACTAAAACATATCATAATAAAATTAACCAACTTCATCGAAATGTATTAAACAATTTATGAAAAATAGTCATAATAAAAAGCCCTACTATTTTTACTATATAGTAGATACCAAAATACTTATGTGTATTTGTTGAACTAGTTCATTAAAGTTTATTTTATGTTTTAAAGGTTCTCGATGAAAAGACTATTTTAGTCTTCTGCGATTTTCCTTACAACAAAGAAAAATATTTTTTAAGAATAATTTTATATATATATATTCAACAACGTCCACAAGCAAGTCCCTAAAAGCCCTGTGGTACGACGGCTTGCATATATTTTTTAAATGCATGGGTTAATAGCCAGCACTTTATATTATAAACAACGAATTGTTACCTTATTTTGTACACTGTACAACGCGCATGCGCTAAACAGAATTTTGAATTTCTTTTGTCTTGTAAATATTTTAATGGTACAAAAATTGTTTAATTGTACGTTTTGTACTTATATGTAAAAATATGTAATTTTGTTTTATTGAAATATATACGGATACTTGTGTTGTAAAAAAAAACAAAAAAAAAAAACAAAAAAAAATTGATTACTAAAAAAAAAGTTGATTACTAAATGGGTCTACGCATTGGCGTAGACCCATTTAGTAATCAACTTCCCAATCAGCAATACATTAATGGGCCAGAGCTGGCAAGCCAGGTCTGGCAAAACACATGTGATCCAGTTAAGGGCCTTAGCTGGCGAACCAGAACTGGCTAGCCATTGCCGGACCATAAGCGTATCATTATTAATGACTCGCCTAAGGTACAAAAATGCATGGCGCAATATGTTTTTAATGTATATGCAAATTTTACGGAGAGAAAAATATATTTATGTTTTCATTCAAGTATATAATTTTCATTATATCACATCCTGTATATTTAGTAATCTTGGTTTTAGTTATAAGCTATTGGATTAAAAGAAAAAAAATTCGAGAAGTTAAAATTATTTTATTTTAACTTTTATTTATTTATTTGTCCGAAATCAATCAAGGGGAAATGGTTATTGATGGAGCCTATAACTATGATTACATAGGTAAAACTGGGTTTTATTTTCCTCAATCTATTGGCGCTTTGCCCAAAACAGTCGTTCAAAGCAAATGCAAAAAACATGGGTTGAACACTTTAGATAATGAACCTTCTAACATCACTGCTCTGGATAATAACCTCAATATTTCTTATCAAATTGATAATGAAATTAGTGAATTTGAAGCTTTATCTGATAACGATTAAGATAAAAGTGATAAGAATATTGTAATTTATGAACTAGACGGTGATTTAGCATTTTGATCTCAGCATAATATCACACAAGAATTCACTGATTTAATTTGCTGATCTATGACCAGAGCTGCTTAAATGTTAATGCATCCTAAAATTTTATTTAAATTTGTGTTTTTTATGTATTTAAATAAAAATTCATTACATATATGTATTTTTTATGCTATGATCTCATCATCATTGTCATCATCCCCCACCTTTATTTTCCTTTATTCTATATATTTATTCAACCTTAGTTATATTTCTTTATAATTTCTTTATTTTTAATTTGGCGTTGAGTAAAACAAGTACTTCACTAAGTTTAATTATTATTTGTTGTTTAAAGTGTACACTTATTAACTCCGTTAATGTTAGCCTTAAAATCATTTTTACTGAACTGTAATAATAAAACATATTTTTTTTTTCTTACTGTCTTCTGAATATCTTTACTCAATATTTATACATTTGCAAAATACCCCCGAGAGTATAATAAACAGTATAAACGTTATGTACAATATAATATATACGACATGCCCACAACATTCCTTCTAACGCAACACGTTAATAGTTTATATACAATACAATTATTTACACTAATTACAACACCCCTTGATCTCTAGATCACAAAGTCTGCATACTTATTCGGAAACTTCCGCATTCGCGTCGATCTTCTGAGATTCAGGTTGTTCGCGGTGGGTTCTTCCGGTTCTCTCCTAGACAAGTTAGCTACAATGGGAGCTGGACGGACGTCCGACATGTGTCTCGGTAATCCATTGATTTCTACCGAAACTCCTCGTCCTTCATCTGAGATTCTTCCTCTATTCCATTCGGTTGTACATTTTGAATCAGGTGGTTTTACAAATACTTCTTGTCCTTGTGTGTAGTTGTGGAGAACTTCCTCGTTAGTTTTGGCAAAAAGTGTGTGTGGTTTCCACTCATAGGAAAATATAGTAGGGGAGCGATGTTTTCTCGCCATTTTTTCTGGGAGCCACGTTATACCAATATATCATTTTTAACGGATCTTTGCTGCCATGCGCTTGATTGTGCGATGGTGACGTTCAACAACTCCATTTCCAGATGACCTGTAGGCGCAACGAAACAGGATGGACACTCCCCATTCTGCGCATAATTCACCAACGAGTTTTGAGCGAAAGGTCTTGCTGTTGTCAAGAAGAACTTGCCACGGAGGTCCTCTTTCTCGAAATATTTCTTCTAGATGGAAACACACTGTTGCTTCTTTCTCGTTTTGTAGCTTCCTCCAAATTGCAAACTTGCTCCTTTTGCCACAGTCAATGATAGACAAATAAATCTCTGATTTATAGTGGGTAACGTCAATAGCTAAACGGTACCAGCTCTTTCCAACTTCAAGGTTTCCTTCTTCCTATCTGATTGGAGCAGAATCTACTGATAAACATCTTTCACAACTTTTTACGACTGATTCAATGTCTTTTCTACAAACTTTCTCCTTCTTATATGTCTGTTTCATCAAATAAAGGGTTCGACTTACTCCAAAGTGATGAAGATTATGAAACGACTTAACATCAGGCGGTACAAGATTTGCTGTCATTGCAGAATAGTTTAAATGCAGCCAATTCTGTGATACCCTCGTAAGAGCATCGGCTTTATTTTCTGCTGACTTAACCAGGAAAAGTTTTAATTGTATACCACACTCCTTCACAAGGTCTTCAATTAACGACAACCGGACAAGTGGTTCTCCAAGATTGTGTACTCGAATGGGTTTGTCACCGATGATTAAGGATTTCAACCAGCCAACAACAGTAGCCGAGTCACACTTTATGGTAATACATTCAAATCCCCATTTTGTTGCTAGATTGATTCCTTTTATCACAGCTTCTAACTCTGCGAGATTAATGTGAGCCGCATCATCTTGTTTTCTCAGCCACGAGCAGTCTTCTACTATTTCCCCAGCTACTTCCAGAACTATGCCAACAGCTAAACTGCTTGCATCGCGCCACACTGTTGCTTCAGAAGTGTTTTTTACGTTCCATGACCCATGAACGGGATCTTCCTTTGTAAGTCTTTCATTTAAACTTCTTACTAATTTGACAACACGATCGTTCACCAACGTGTCCCATCCACAACTACTCGAAACTCTTTTTAGATAGCTGCACGAAGGGCGCAACCAAATTGCTATTAGAAATTTCCAGTCAGCTGTCCACACCAAGAAAAGATTTGCCGACGCGTCATTTTTCCTTCAGGAACTTTGGGTATGTTGTCACGTTTCCAACGCACTTAGTTGTTTTGTTTGTACACTCGCAATCCAAGTACACGCCTAACCGACAAGTTTTTCTGGCAGCTTAGAATCCAAGCCATATTTTTTCAAGAGTTCTTGAACTCTACAACTTGACACTATGTTATTATTGACAATGATGTCATCAATAAATGAATCCGTCCCAGACCCGACAATTTTGTCTATGGATAATACCTTTTTTAAGATTTTTGTCATTATTCTGGGCGCCACATTTAAACCAAAACCCAATCTTGTTAGACAATATCGCTGCCCTTCATATTCCACAACTTGATATTTCCATAATGCTTCGTCGACACGAATCTGCAGGTACGCTTTTTTTAAATCGATTATCTCAAGATTTTCTCCCAACTTTCTCCAGTTGCGAAGTTTAGTACTGCAAACATCGCCATCTGCAGTATGACTGGATACAAATTGATTCAGCTCCCGGTAGTCCATCACCAGACTTACTTTTAATTTGTTTCGTTGAATTACTGCCATCAACGAAATGATGCCATTATATTTCCCTTCAAATAGTTTCAGCCATCCCTGTGCTATCCATTCACTTATTTCCGTTGCGTACTCACTTTTAACGTCTTCAGAGATGTGATAGTTTGGAACTTTGTTTGTTAAAGTTGGTGGTTCCATCAGCCATTTCCAAGACACGCTCCAGCTGCCATTTTTGAACTCTGCTACGAAGTCTTTATCAATCAGCTTTTGAACAGTAGGCGTGGATACTTCATTCGTTTTTTTTGAGAGACTGCAGTAGCGCCGATAGTTAGTTGCTCCGCATTAAAGTTTATGGTTTCACCGTCTCTCCCAACTTGGACACCTCCGAGCAGTCGTATTGCGTCCATACCAAGTAGCATTTGATATTCAGGAACAATGTTGGCAACCAGGCATTCCAAATCGATGGTGGTATCATTTATAGAAAGATTAAGAACAGTCTGGTATTGTACTTCAATTGACTTTCCATTCATCATAACAACCTTTTCGCTTGCATGTTTGACATTTTTTGGGTTTACAATATCCCGACTTAAAATTGATTTGGAGCATCCAGTATCTAACAATGCTTTTATTTTTCTTCCATTGACATATACGCGGAGAGTTGGCGGCTTTAAATTTTGTGGGAAGCTGCTCGCACAAAAACGGGTGGCTTCCCTTCCACGTTTTTTGAGTTCGTACACCTTTTATAGCAGTACTGGGCCAGATGATTGTCCATTCCACACACAAAGCACCTCTTCTTCTCAATCTCTTTGCTGAAATTTTGACTGATATGTCCATCCTCACCGCAACGGTTGCACGTTATGATCTTTTGTCCGCGTCCTTTAGGAACCTGTTTTGAACTAATGGCAACTGGATTTACGCAACTGACAAAACACGATTCTTTGCGACGTATAATTATTAAATTTCTGGATTTTTCAGCAATCTAGCACAGCGACATTGTTGGTATTGAGCATGCAGTTTGCAGCTGTTTTCTTGCTTCGTCAGGTAATCCAAGAATAAATGCGCACCACTCTTCGCTTACGTGAGATGATATTAGCTTGCTCAGTCTTGTTAATTCTGCGAGATATACGTCAACGGACTCATTCTCTTTAAGACGGCGATTTACAAACTCTTCGTATGCTGTTAGCGGAGAAGCAGAGAAGGCAGTAGTCAGTGCAGTTTTCACTTCATTGTAGTCTTCTTTTATCTCGTCACTTAGGCCTTGATAAACGGCAAACGCCCCACTAGAAAGAAATAAGGAGAGCACCACATGCAGCTTGTCAACTTTTTGAAGTTTTGCTACCAGTTCCAATTTCTGTATCCATTCTGAAAAATCACCCGAACCATCGTATTGTGAAACCAGATCCGCAAACTTTATAACGATACTCATTGCCGAAATAGCTTGTAATAATAAAATATATTTGTTTTTTCTTACTGTCTTCTGAATATCTTTACTCAATATTTATACATTTGCAAAATTCCCCCGAGAGTATATTAAACAGTATAAACGTTATGTACAATATAATATATACGATGCGCCCACAACATTCCACAACGTTAATAGTTTATATACAATATAATTATTTACACTAATTACATGAACATCGTAATATCTTAAGGTATTATTTTGTATTTCATGTACACTTTTTAATGTATACTATAAGGTGTTTATAATATACCATAAAAATTTCTATAAACTATATTTTAACATTAGACTTATGTAGAGTACAGAAGTAACCTGATGAAAATTATGATAGTGACTCTCAAGATTTTAATGAACATCAATAATGTCTGCTGACACCTGTCTCTGTATTAAACAAAAGTACAACAAGATTGGAAAAAGTGATCATAATTACCTCTGTGATTAAGGTATTTTGACTACTAATTTGTAGCCTATTGCAAAACATTTTATGAATTATAACTAATGTTAATAAAAAAAAATGATCCTAATTGATTTACTAGTGGTAGCAATTTTTTTTTAAGGTAAAGGGAGTAGCAGCAAAAAGGGAAGGAGCAAAAAAATTAAATTGGACAGGGCAAGGTGATCTTCAAAAAAAGTCTTTCCAAATTCTTAAATTTTGTCAAGTTATTGAAAGTAAGTTAATAAATAAAATAATAAATAAATATAAATATTTAAAATTGTCTTTCATTATTTTCTTCACTTTATTGTCATTTATTAAATTTATATATGTGTGTTTCTATGTGTGTTTATATATATATATATATATATATATATATATATATATATATATATATATATATATATATATATATATATATATATACAGTACTGGAAAAATTATTATGGATTTTTTAAAATAACACAATTTATGCAACAATTTTAGTTAATTTTATTATTTAAAGTATTATATTTCACATAAATTCTTTCTATTTTCACTATACATTCATTGTGTACCATATTTTTCATAAATGTCAACATTTTTTATCATTTTATAGATGGCAACACGATTTTTATGTGTTGTGTCATAATTATGCATATTATGCACATTTATGTTAGTTCGCTGCGTTCCGTCACGAGGGCTTGTCGTCGCTGAGAATTAAAGTTTTTATAACATTTTATTGAAGTTTTAAGTTTTTTTAATATTATCTAAACCAAAAAAGTTACTTAATTTTTTTTTATTTCATTTAGTTTTGTATATAAAGTCATGGGTAAAAATAGTGATTTAAGTCCTCGTAAAATTGGACAAATTAAAGTTTTACTAGAAGATTCTGAACTTAAACAAAAAGAAATCGCTAGGAAATTAAATATATCGACACAAATTGTTAGTCTGATTAAGAAAAAAATTGAGAGAGGGATTGATGTGGGCTCTCAACGACAAGGAAACTGTGGGAGGAAAAAAATAACCACACCAAGAACCGATAGAAAAATCCAAAATATGGCACTTAAGGATAGAAGAGCAACATGTTCGAAGATTTCCAGTATGTTAGGGGAAGAAGGAATCTCTGTGAGCAGAAAAACGGTAAACAATCGATTGTTAGAGTTCGGATTGAAAGCATATCGTCCAAGAAAAAAGCCACGCCTTACAGAAAATATGAAAAAAGCAAGATACGATTGGGCAAAGCAGCATGAATCTTGGACTTATGATGATTGGCAAAAGGTAAAAATGGTTTTTTTAATCTTAAATACATTTAGGAATGATAATCAGTTAAATTACTTTTGTCTTTATTAATTATTTTAGTTGTGATGGGGTCTTGTAACATTATAATAATACGTATTTAATAAACAATAATTTTCAAATTTTAACTTAGAGGTAAGGCACTCTCTCTCTACTTTCTCTAGCAGTTAATTTTGTTTCAGGTTGTGTTTTCTGATGAGTCGACTATCGCAATTTTGGATGATAGGGTCCAAACCGTACGTCGACGACCCGGGGAAGAATTTTTGCCAGAATGTTTGAAGAAGACTGTGAAATTTCCTCAAAAAATAATGGTATGGGGGGCATTTTCGGTCCATGGAACCAGTCGATTGTACATCGTGGATGGCACAATGAACCAGGACAAGTACATTAAGGTGCTAGAATCTCGACTAGTGCCACAAATTAGGGAATGGTATGGGTCAGACTTCTGGATTTTCCAGCAAGACTCTGCACCTTGCCACAAATCCAAAAAAGTTATGACTTGGTTCCAACAAAATGCTGTCCAGGTTCTTCCTTGGCCAGGAAACTCGCCCGACATGAATCCCATAGAGAATCTATGGGATATACTAAAAAATGAAATCCACCAAATACCCATAACAACAAAAAGCCAACTGATAGAAAGGTTAATACACGTGTGGTTTCACTCTACAAAAATTAAATTTTTGTGTAAAAGTTTGATTGAGAGCATGCCACATCGTGTAAAAGCTTTAATTCTTGCGAAAGGTGGCCAAACAAAGTATTAAAATGTATAAAAATGTGTAATACGTGTAAATAAATCATTTTTGGTTATGAACTAATGAACAAATTGTGTTTTAGTAATGCCTTAAGTCCGAAATAACGATGTATTTTAAAAATCCATAATAATTTTTCCAGTACTGTATATATATATATATATATTTATATATATATATATATAAACAAAGAGAGAGAGATACAGATATAGACATATACAGATATATACAACAGCTATATTTAGCTATACTCTTATAATTTGTTTATAAAAACACTTGATATATGACTATGTTTATGTTTATAGAAGCAATACGAAGAAATTTGCTGACAAAAGATACCACACACAGCGAAATTCAAAAGGCAGTTGTGGCTTTTTTTATTGGAGCTCTAGGCAGAAATAGAGGCAGAAAAGAAAGAGCAGAAAAAAAGTCCACCCAAAAAACCAGTTCAACAAAAAATCGTGGCTATACTGCCCAATCATTGACATTGAAACCTTTATCTGGATTATCATTACCACGCTTTAACAAAAAGTAAAAAAAAAAAACATAACTGACAATTATATTAGATATATAATATAAATTTTATATAATTATATAAAATTTATATATATATATATATATATATATTAAGTAAAATTAGTAAAAATTGATGAAAAAATTCGTTTAATTGGACAATTTTGAATAGTGGGCGTTTAATGCAACGTTCGCTGATTGCCAGCCTTGGCCCTAAATTGAATCAATGCTGGCTCGCCGCTAGCAAAACATTGCTGCGCCAGCACTGGCTTTCGTATACTGGCCCTTTGAAAAACCAATGAGCAACCCGGCGCTGGCGTACCAGGCCTGGTACAGCTTGGCAGCCGAGCCTGGTTCGCTATTGGGCCAAATAGTGTCTGCTTACTGGGTTTGAGTAAACATCGTTCATTAGTGATTTTTTTTTTTTTATTATTATTTTTTTTTTTACATGTTTATTTTACAACTACAAAGTACTTACAAAGTAATTTACAATCAAAGATTGGCGGTAAAGATATACAAACATAAATATCATAAACATAAAGTTCGAAATTTACGAAGTAAATGAAAATATAGTTGTATAGAACTCCGAGATACGATTAAAATAAACACCAATTACAGCAATGTAGTAACGTGTTCGTAAAAATAATCCGATAATATATCTAATATTATTCCAGTTAAAATTAAAAAATACAATAAATAAAAATAAGTTAGCTGATTTTTCGGAGGAGTGTTTAGATGTTTGACAATAAGTTTATTTACCACATTTCTAACTAATGTTTGTGTATAAATATGGTAAAAAAAAACGAAATTTGTGTAAGGTTGATAAAAAGTATGACTTGTTTGTAGTTAAAGGAAGCTCGCAGAAGACTCAATTCAGTCTTGTCATCGAGTATTTTTTTCTGGACGTGTAATACACATAAAAAATCAGTTGCATACGCGGTATATATGTATTTTGTACATATATACGTTATTTTATACTATTATTTTATTATTTATTACTATTAGATTATTATTTTATACTATTATTTTTTAATACCGATTTCTATAAAAAAAGTTAAGCTACATTTTTTTTTAATTAATATTAAAAAAAATTCCTTATAGTTGTTTAAAATGATTATTGTAGATTTTAGCTTTATTTTTAGAGAATGTTCGTTGTTTAGGTTTAATAGTGATTCGTTTCTGGAAACTAATTTGTTAAATAAATAGGGACCACGATATGTAATTGAGAATTTTGAGAGTCTTGTTGTTTTAAACGGTATCTTAAAGTTGCCTGTTGCTCTTGCATTGTATTTATATATATTGTTTTATATTTTATATTTAAACATGAAAAGTATATTTTGAAAAATATTTATTTGAAATACATTTAGTGCGATCATTTGTTCCATCAAGGGTTGAGCATGAGCAAATTTATTTTTATCTCTTAATTTCTTTTGTTTCTATTTCTTTTTGTTTCTTCTTTCTTGCAAAAACAGACCATATCTAAAAAGACCTATTAGCGTTGGTAACTCCGATAAAAGAATATCTGTTCCAGAACCTATATGTTCCGAAAGCTTTGATCCACTTCTTTTTCTAGCTCTTGAGAATATTGACTCTGAATTAAATAGCAAAGTTCATAATTTGCAAACTTTTTACGTATGTTTTTTAATTTTTAAGATTTTTTATAATATTTTTTAACAATTAACAAACAAATTATATGCTTGACAATTTATAAATTGGCAACTTTATATAGTTTTGATATCAAATAGAATACACCACTGATCTCTATAATAACTGGATAGCGCACCTCCTAATAAAATTTCAAAATTTTTGAAGCCAAAAGACGCCATATTGGAAAGCCCCAGAATTTATAAATGCGTAGTTGCGTTAAACTTATATGCGCTTAAAACACAGATTTCGCTTGATAAATAAAAAATGCAAAAACCTTATAAATGCATTGATTATAAAAAACCGAGTAAATTTGATGTTATATGTTCAGATTATTTCATGGAGAGTGAATTTTTAAGTTTTGTTGTTTGGGATTAAGTAACAAAAAACCTTTAAAAAAAAATTAAAATTTCAAAAAATACATTTTTCCCTGATTTCCCTGACTAGAAAAAAATTCCCTGACTTTTCCATGATTTCCAGTTGGCTGGCCACCCTGGTATAATATTATTATAATAGCATGCAAGTGTATATTAGTATGCACCTTTTGATTCTTAATTGCCCTCTGCAAAATGCCTGAGGCTTGTAACATATTTGCAAGGTAAACAGCTTACAAATTTGCTGTATGAATCATTAGTTAGGCAATGTGATTGTAACACAACCTAAAGGTTCCTTAGGCAACATATAGCGAATCTTTATATTTACTTTTAATAATTTTGTTCTTGGTGCGTATATATATATATATATATATATATATATATATATATATATATATATATATATATATATATATATATATATATATATATATATATATATATATATATATATATATATATATATATATATATATATATATATATATATATATATATATATATATATAAATTAACTTAACGCTTAACTGTCGAAAAATAATATCAAGACATTTTTGTAAATGCCATTAGACATTTTCACAACACCAGAACATTTGTATAAGATATTGCAATTACAAAAGAATATATTAAAGTAAAAAAAATATAAATAAAATAATAGTTAGCTCTATCATCTTGAACAAAATAATCATTGAATAACTTGTATAAGCATTCTTGCGGCGAAAAAAACACGTGATCATTGCGTAATGAAAAACAAAAATATCTACCATTATGATATGGGGGCAAACAAACGCGCTGATTTCAGTACAACATTACTTAAACGCCTTGAAAATGTTTTATGATTATCAAGAAAAGTTATCTAAAAGAGCTGCTGAACGTTACCAGAACAAAATTTAGCGTTATATTGAAATAAATCTGTGCAAATGCTTAAAGGAATCATGGAATTCAATTAATTCATCATTTTGAAATTATTGCACAGTTTACAGATGTAGTCAATAAATAAAACAAAAATATTACATATTGATATTCTAATAACATTTAAAAATTCTATATTTTGCTTAAAATTTTCCTCAGTGTAATATTTATTCCTCATTTTTTTAATATATGTGAAATAAATGTTATAAATAAAAAATATTTTTTACAGTATAATAATGAAATGATCAAAATTACTAATTACAACAATTTGAATTATAACATCGTAACAATATTTATAAAGTTTTTTAGTAAATGGTATGAGGATTAACAATATTATGTCTTGGCTTTTAAAAAATAACATAAATGACTTTTTATCTTCATTCACAAAGGTACTCTCTAAAACCAGTGACAACAGCAGAAACTTTACTAAAGAAAATGGAACATAGTCAACATGCTTTTCAAAATTTTGAAAAGCATCTAGACTATGTTCTTTTTTTTCCCAAAAGAGAAACATACTTACAATGAATAAAAATGAAAAAAACTTAATAAGTTCAAGAAAAATTTGTGCTCAAATATTTTGACGATTTAAATACAAAACTTACCAGATACAAAATGTTTTGAGCATACTTAGACATGTTTTGCAACCAAAGTTTGTTTTTGAAAGATGAATCAATTCTATATAAAGCATAAAGCCATGATTTTCTTCTCTTTGGATCAGGAAGCAAAATATAAAAAATCAAGTTCGGATGACTATTAACATTAATTGAACAATTAAAAACACATTTCTCCATTTTCAAGCGCTTTGTTTGCCCCCATACCATAATGGTAGCCGTTTAGTTAGTTAAAGTGACGTCACGTTCGCCGCAAGGATTGAATAACAAAATTAATATTGAATAAAAAGGTATTATGTGGTAGGGAAAAGTAAAAAAGTATGTACACTTAGAAAAAAAATTGTTCACCTTTCATTTTGGTCTTTTATGTTGCTTATTTGTTTTCACAAGAAATATTTTTAATATTTATTAATTATACAACTAATAGGGGAGAGTGGTACTGAATGGACCTTGTACTGAATGGACCATTAGAAAAATAAAAACTTAACAAGCTGTTAATTGATTTTTTTTTAATTGCATATAATTTTTGTATACTCAAAGTTTCTTTGATATTTTTGGTTTAACGTTATTCGTAATAATGCATTAATATTTGCATTTTTTGTTTTTTTCGAGCTAAAAGTAAATTTTTATCTTTTCAATTTGTTTCAATTTACACTAGATTTTTAAGGTAAAGTTAACTATAGTTAATAATAATATTATAGATACATATTTTTTACTTTGTATAACATTAGAATGAATGTTATATGATTTACTGATTGCTGTGATTATATGGGTAACATGTACATTTTGATTAGTGTACTGGATGAACCACCATTGATTGTACTGAATGGACCGGTTCATTTTTCTGCGAAGTTATTTATCGCGCTTCATTACTTTGCTTACTAAAACAACATACACAAATTTTTTCATCTAAATGAACTAAGGAGATGTGAGTTAGGAAATAAACCAAAATATCTAGTTAACGAGGACTTAAGGGCGCAAGTTCAATTATTCATTATTCAATATAATATTAAGGTAAGCAGATAATATAATGTTAAGTTAAGCAGACTAATAGCTTACATATTAGGTTAATAATTATTAATTTGTAGTTTGTTTCATTGTTTCAATAACTGAATGTCATAATATTATTACGATGTTTAAATAAGGTGGTATTACTTTTAATAACATCTAGCATATAACATTTGTTATATATACTATATATAATAAAAGTTATATGCTAGTTATGTTATATGGCATATAATATGCTAGATAAGCTATATGCTAGATATTATATAATATATCTGAAATGTTATTTATACGTTTTTAAAAACAATGACAATTACCATGGTCAGTAATTTTTACAATACAAAAAATCAAGTAATATCTAATAAAACCAAGAATAAAATTTCGTAAATTAATTGTTATATTTAAATTACTAAAGCTTGTTGATCATAATAAAAAAATTATTCTACATTCAAGCTTTTATATAATTTAGTTTTTTATACATGTTATGTGTGTGTGTGTGTTTAGATAATTATATATATATATATATATATATATATATATATATATATATATATATATATATATATATATATATATATATATATATATATATATATATATATATATATATATATGTATATATATATATATATATATATATATATATATATATATATATATATATATATATATATATATAAAATAACATCGATAATTTTTTTTAATAATATGGTTATAAACAAGTTTTATTTATTTCAGAAGTATTATGAGACATCGAAAAGCAACAGCACTAAAAGGTGATTGGGATCCCAATAATATTTTCCAAGCAGTTGAAAATGTTTTAAATAAAACTCTATCTGAAAGAAAAGCTGTTGAGATATTTGGAGTCAAACGTTCAACTCTTAAGAGGCGAATAAAAGAAGCTCGACTATCTCAAAATGGATTGAATAAATTGCAATGTGTTCCATATAGTAACAGTTCTATGAAAATTTTTTCAGTAACAGAAGAACAAGAGCTGGTTCAATATTGTTTAGTTTCTGCAAAAATGGGATATGGGTTAAGTCCTATTAAGCTAAGAGCACTAACATTTGAATATGCTCTCAAACTTGAGAAGAAGTGTCCACATTCTCGTCGAGGTTCTGCTAAACCTTGGGAAACAAATAAACATGCAGGTGTAGATTGGTTTAGAGCTTTTTTAAGTCGTCATCCAGAACTTGTTATAAGAAAAACAGAGGCAACATCAATTGGTCGAATGTCAGCATTCAACAAGTATAATGTAAATCTATTTTATAATAATCTGCAAAGTCTTTTGATTAAATACAAGTTTTCACCAAATGATATATGGAATGTTGATGAGACTGGTGCTACTACTGTACAAGTGCCAGAGCATGTTTTAGCCAAGAGAGGAGAGAGGCAAGTTGCTTCTGTTACAAGTGCAGAACGAGGTATCTTGGTAACAATGTGCAATGCAGTAAATGCAAGTGGATCCTCAATAACACCATTCTACATATTTCCACGTGTTCATTTTAAAGATTTTTTTCTGCGAAATTCAATTCCTGGTTCTGTTGGCACTGCCAACAAATCTGGGTGGATGGTGGAATCAACCTTTATGGAGTGGTTTAATCATTTTATAAAAAGTGTTCGACCATCTAAGACAAACCCTGTGCTGTTGATACTAGATAATCATGAGTCTCATATGTCAATTAACTTCATTGACTTAGCATCAGATAATGGTGTAATTGTTTTAACAATCCCACCCCATACATTACACAAACTACAACCGTTAGATATAACAGTGTATGGACCTTTCAAACGTCATTATAATCGTGAAATTGATAGCTGGTTGGTATCACATCCAGGAAAAACTGTTTCAATCTATGACATTGCAGAAATTTCTGGATAGGCTTGGGCAAAAGTATCAATGCCAGTTAACATCATTAGTGGTTTTTCAGTATCTGGAATAAGTCCTTTTCAACCTGATTGGTGGAAGGATGAGGATTTTTTTTTATCTCAGGTTACAAATAGACCCAATCCTGAAACACTCAACACCAATCCAGTGTCATTAGAAATTATTAGACCTAATCCTAAAGCACTTAACATCAACCCAGTTTCAGTTGAAATTAATAGACCTAATCCTGAAGCACTCAATATCAATCCAGTTTCAGTAGAAGTTATTAAACCTAATCCTGAAGCACTCAACATCTATCCAGTTTCAGAAGAAATAAATAGAAATGTTAAAGTCAACAAAAATGTTAGCAATACCCTGAATGTGGAAAGTATACGCCCTTATCCTTCTGCAAAATCTCGTTTAAAAAAAACCAAAGATGCTCGCAAAAAGCTCTCCTCTTCGATTCTAACTCATACTCCAATTAAAGAGGCTCTTCGAAATCAACAACTTCAGCAAAATTTAAAAAAACAAAACTTTTCTGAAAAACAAAAAGATGCTAAAAATAAACGTCAAAGGAAATCAAGAAAGAAATCAAGCAACTCAAAAACTCTAAAGTTTCCATTAATGACATATAATAATGATGAGGCTGATGATATTCTTGTTGAAAGAAATGATAATGGTGTCAAAGATAGTTTAAATTTTTGTGGAGGTATTACATCAAATTACGATTTGTGTGCTATATGTGAAGAAATGGGTCGTGACAACGAAGTATGGTACCGTTGCAGACAGTGTGCGAGCTGGGCACATAAAGCTTGCACAAGTGCAGATAATGCCAGCCAATATGTTTGTGATTATTGTAATTTGATTATCTGATTGAGAGATCGGTCTAAAGTTGTATTAATTAATTCAGAAATATCAATGTCTCAACATACTTCTTTCTTGTTTTTAAACTCCATTTATCACCCAAATTGCTTTGCATAATGTAACTTTTTATGCGCAATTGTTTACAACTTTTATTATAATATACAATATACAAGAATAGTTAGTTAAGATATTAATCTTGTCTCCCGAATTAATATATCGGCTATAGTTATTAGCGATAGAGATATTGATCTTTTTTATAAAAAAAAAAAACTTTTTTTGTGGTCCATTCAGTACAATGAACAGTACTGAATGGACCACTAAATAATTTGGTACGGGTCACATTTATCGCACATTTTGCCGATGTTCTGTTTGCGCAATGGTTTACAACTTTTAAGGATTGTTAGTTAAGGTATTAATTTTGACTTCTGAATTAATATATCCGCCATAGTTGTTGACAATATGGGAAAAAATTATTTTTACAAAAAAGTTGAATTTTGTGGTCCATTCAGTACCACTCTCCCCTATTTATCAGTATAAAACTGATAGATGTTAGCTGAATCATTATTATTTTACTTTAGAGTCAATAGTTTTAAAAAACTTGAAAGAAACCATGTCTGTTTTCATTTATACCATTTTTACATATAAAAAATCAACATGTATGTGATGCTGTTATTTAGTCTAAAACACTAAATACTTTAATGTAAAACTGCAAATAACTAGTTATCACCAAATATCTAGTGTTTTATAAAGTTAGAGATGGCTTTTTCAAACCTTCACAAAGTGTAATTAAAGTTAGCAAAGCAACAGAACAAAACATTGTTATTAAGTGATATCAATTTTAATAAAGTATTGTATAATTGATGATATTTCAGTTGTGGAACAATATAAACATGCCCTCAGAGTTTGAAAAATTAAAAAACCATTTACAAAAATGTTTGATACAATGTTTTTATCATGTTTTATACTTGTAAAGTTACTTTCCAGCTACTATTGCTAAGTAAGGTCGCATCAAGTTGTTAAAGTAAATACCCAAAAGTAACCAGATCAAATATTAAATTTTAAATATAATAATATCATTGAAATATGTGACTTGGTCGAGTAGATATAAACGAAGTAAAAAGGTACATCTTCAAGCGCAACCACTGTATTTTCGATATTCTGGGGCTTTCCAATATGGCGGCCGTACAAAAAATTGGCTTCACTTTTGATAATAGAGATGCGCTATCCAGTTATTATAGAGATCAGTGGAATACACGGGTTTATAGTCTCAGTTCCGTTCCGCAAATAATCTCGAATTTGTTTAGAAAACTAAACATTTCTAGAAGTTGAGAAGATTTGAGAAAAAGTTTGAGAAGCAGAATTTGACATTTTGATATTATTTTGATATAAAATCTTTGTTTTAAAATTTTTTTAACGCTAAATATCTTTCCAAGCTATATTTATTACTAACTTAAGTTCAAAATATTTATCTTACTAAACGATTTTGTAATTTACAGAACGGAACTGAGACCATAAACTCGTGTATTCAACGTGAATGGGTGTAAACAATTACTTGTGTATAAAGATGCGTGGACGCAAAATAATATCTGTGGTTAGAGTCAAAGTTAATTACGAAAAATTAACCATAATTATGCAATTTAAAAACACACTTCCCGGTAGCTTAACATAAATTATTTTTAGTTTTTTATTTTGTTTTTAATGTTAAAGTAGTTGTACATAAGTTTTCTATATACCGGGTATTTGGAAAAACTTTTTTTTCAAAAAATCATAAAGTATGACACACCCTAATTCAGATCCGGAAAAAAAAAGACAATTTAGTTAAAGATCGGAACAGATCCTTATGCTATAAACTTCCTCCATAAATTATTATTTCTAATAAATTTTTAAAATCTTTTTCTACCACAAATACAAGATTTTAAGACCATTTTCGAGTTTTATATCGCTTATTTGTAAATTAATCGTATTAACTAGAACCTAGGTAAGTTTCTTTTGTAAAGTTAATTTTAGAGGTACCGAAATGCATGAAAAGTACCAAATTGCATCAGTAAGTTTGCGAAAAACAAAACTTGTGTATTTTCTTAAGCGATACAACCACAAAAGATCTATTTTTGAACTATTGCTGATTTGTTTTATTTACAAAAAGTTTATATTTTTCAGACAGTATTTTTTATCTTCTTTTAGAATCTGGTTTTAAAAAAATATCTGAAATCAAACTTTTTGAAAAGTATTAACTTCAATAGAAATACTTTTGTGGGGTATATCGGGACAACAAGTTATTTAAATAATTGACTACCGTTTTATTTACAGTTTTATGATTTTATTTTAATCCAAAATATTATTTTCCTCATTTAGAAAAGCAATATTAGTAATAAATTCAAAGAAATTGTTAGTTTTATAACTTAACTTTGATTATTAATAGTGTTTGATATAAGCAAAGATGGTAATAAATTATATAAAAAAGATCAATCATCCAAAACGGGATGAAATGCAGTTTTAGCTGTGAGTAAAAAGAAACTTAGAACTATAAAAGCTGCTGATACATATGGCATATTTAAGTTTGCTCTACATCGCCATATCACTTAGAAGCCAGCGCATCAAAAGTGTTGCCAAATAGTTTAAGGATATTTTTTGTGTGATTTATGTGATCCATAATACATTTTCTTCAATTTTAAATTTAGTAGTAGTTACCAATTTAATAATATATAGTAGTTTTGCTCTACTTAAATTTTAGAACAACTTCTAAAGTTTTTTTGATTACGAGTAATTTATACTAAAACATAAAAAGTTTTTTTTTCATTTTACTTTTGATTCTTTTCAATGTGTTGTATGGGTCTATGAGCCTGTAGTTTGTATGGGTATGTTACTTTTTTGAGAGTTTAATGTTTGAACAGGTTTAAATGATAAAGTGCCTTCATTTTTTATCATTTTTAAAGCTTTGCAATTTACGAATAAGTGCTTCTTTTAAACTGTCCCGTTTAGCCCCACCCACTTACAAAATATAAAATTTTTGCTAGTCTAGAGTTTCGTTACTTTGATTGTCGTAGCTTATTTTTAGAATATTTGTTTTTGTTTTTTTCTTTTCTTATATCAATAAATTTTAGGTAATTTATAAAAAACAGTATTAACTATGGTTAGTTTATCAACAACTAGCATTTGTTTTTTAAGTGTCCCTATATGCCCTAGGTTATGATCAGCAAAGAATTTTACAGACGTAATAATATCTAAAAACTACCTTAACTACACCGAATGTAGGTGTCAAAGAATTAAAAGCCACCCATTTAAGTCATATACAGGGGCAAATCTAGCATTTTTTGGTATTTGAAATCTTCTAGACATGGAACAAATTCCAAACCTTTATATGTTTATAATTATGTAAAATAAGGATGTTTTGCAAAATATTGCGATGATTGGAGATTGGAAACCAAAAAGCCCTACAATTTTCCCCACAACTGCCCAAAAGTGAAAGCAAAAAAAGCTGATATAATATTTTTTTTTTACTATTCTCAACTATCTCAACTAAAGTTATATTTATTTGTAAATTTTAAATTTTGCAGTATAGATTATCAGAGTTCAAAAATCATATAAAGTTTAAATCCTTCTCAAGTTTTACAAACTTTTTATGGTCGTAATTTTTGAATGTTACAGGGTTATTTATTTTTATATCAATAGTGCACAGATATGGTAATTACAAATTTTGGTCAAATTGAGATAAGTACGAGAAAAACGTGTTTTTATTTATAGTTTATCGTGCATAAATATGGTATGTGTGCGATAAACGATAAAGAGTCTACTAATTGACAATATGTGGTAAATACAAAAACTCTTCTTATTATAATTACGCGCGCATATGACAATTTTTACAGTTTTTAATCTTGCACTTACCACATCTGTGCACTATGCCATCGATATGCGTGTTTATTCATTCTTATATGTGCATTTATCCATTCTTATATGCATGTTTATATGCGAGTCAACAATCCATAAAATCTCTTATATAATTTTATATAAACAATAAATAAGCTTTGAAATTTTTAACTTTGAAATATAGATATATTTAAAACATAAATTGGGTTGTTGCCACTGCTATTTATTTAAAAAATGGTTGTCGAGCCAGCGCCGGACTTATGTATCTACGCATATGGTTGTAAAATGGAATTAAGTTAAGCTCTGTAGTATCCATAATATATTTAAGTTTCCTGATTACCCCATCCGTATTTCGAGGCTTTTCTCCCTGTTTATAAGCATGCTTTAAAGAAGAAGAGAAGTTTTTTTTTTCTTTAAAACAGTTTTTTCAAAGCAAATTGTTTTTGTTTCCTGGTAAACGAGGTTAAAAATACTTAAGACAAAATCTTTTTCGACGACATGACTGTATTCAAGTCATTTTCTGATAAAAAACGAGGTAAAAGACCTATAATTGTTAAAAAAAAAAAATTATTAAATTATGCGTACAAGAAAACAATCTTTATACAAAAGAAGCAATAAAAGAAAATCTTTCTGCAGCAGGCTTCAATATGCCTCAGCCTACTATTTCAAGAAAACTCAAACGTTCGGATTTATCAAGAAAGCGTGTTGTGCATGTGCCAGAAGAACGAAACTTAACACGAGTTGTTGATGCGCGCTATGCATTTACAATCAAATTTAGAGGAATTTCAAATAAAAAACTTACTTGTTTGGATGAAACTGGATTTAATGTGCACATTAACAACACATACTTTACAGTCGTCAGCAAATCGTGGCAAGAATCTTAGTTTGATTTAAGCTTTTTCAACAATGTGAGTGCTAGCTTATGAAAAAATAAACTATAGGCTGAAATGCAGATTCATTTTGTACTTTCATTACTACAATGTTGGTACCAGCGATTAGGAATGCAGATGTGGAAGCGCCAGTGTTTGTTATGGACGATTGTAATTTCCACTGGAGTATTTCTTTTAGGCAAACATTAGCCTCTCATGGCAAAGCTATTAAATATCTGCCAGCATACACGCCACAGCTTAATCCAATTGAAGAATTTTTCTTCTTCTTTAAAGCATACTTACAAACAGGGCGAAAGGCCTCGAAAAACGGATGGGATAATCAGGAAACTTAAAAGTATTATGGATACTACAGTTTAACTTAACTCCATTTTACAACCATATGCATAGTTACATAAATCCAGCGCTGGCTCGGCAACCATTCTTTAAATAAAAAGCAATGGTAACAACCTAATTTATATTTTAAATATATCTATATAAAACATAAATGCCTATTTATTGTTTATATAAAATTATACTTGAGATTTTATGTTTGGTTAACTTGCATATAAAGCAGCCGTGGCGCAGTGGTAGCGCACTTGCCTCAGACAATGAAAGTATAAAACAGATGAAAGTTCATCGAGCCGCAAACATCAAAGCAATTTCAAGTCGTCTCGGGAGTATGCTTGTAACCAACAATAAAAACAAAAATAAGTTTCACTGGATAAAAAAACAACAAAACTCACTGAAACTATTATTCTAGGGGTATGCTGCAAATTTTTAACCATTAGTAATTGCAATTATTCAGCAAAAGGTTTATTAAAACTCGGTAATTAAATAGAACCACTTGGTTTTAAAAGCATATGTTAGTTTAAGCTTTTTTTCTTGTTTCAAGTCATAACACGACAGTTGATAAAAAAGACAACTAAAACAATTTTTAAAAAATCAAAAAAACTGTTTTCTAAATAACTAAACTTTAGTCTAAAGTTTAAAGTTTTATTAGCTGTATATCATAACTCCATTCATTCTTGTAGTACTCCATTCATTTAATATGAAATTTTATAAAAAAGTTGTTTGCCGTTTTGTTGCGCCATTTTAAATGTTTTTCTTGAATATTATTGGCGAACCTTTATTTTTAAATTTTTATAAACGTACCTATTTGCGTCAACGTATATATATTAGGCGTTTAAGTACAGTCTTGATGTCGTTTTCTTATTGTTTATGAAACAAAAGGTTACGAGCATAGTCCCAAAGAATTTTAATGCAGTTAAACTTCCATCTGTTTTATACTTCCATGCTCAGACACAAAAGATCTGTTGTTCAAACCCCACCTCTGGGCAAGTTTTAGGACATTGGTTAGGAAGGAGGCGTGAACTTCCTATTGAATGCTCGTATATATATATATATTTTATATTATTTTATTAAAATATAATATTTTATATTATATTTTATAAATGTATATATTTTATTTTAATAAAGTCAGCTAATTCAAATGTAAAAAAATGTTGCGTTTACCCTTGTATATATAAAACAACTTAAAATCTAACTTATATGAATGTTTTCTACATTTTTTCGTGTTTAAAAATTTTATTTTCATTTTTTAGTTTTCACTTTTTTGTGTAAATTTTCAAAAAGAAAAAATGCACAAAAACGAAGTACTTTATGAATTATTGTCGTTTTTCTACTTTATTTCATTATTCTCTACTTTATTTCATTATTTTATTCACCAACCCCTAAAATTTTCATCTGTCGAAAAATTAAAAAGTTACGACATTTACTATGAGTTGTAGTCGGCTGGTATTTTTACTACAATACGCATTTTTTTATATAATAATATAAGGAGATATGTTTTTTGTTGCATAGCTATATTTTTTTCTATAAAAGTTATTGTAGTTATATTTTTTAGCAATTTCAATTCTTGTCAATGGCGAGAATTTAAACTGCCTAATAATATAAAGTTGACTGGCTTTACGCTCGAAGCCAAACTGACAACACATATAAATATAATAAATTCCATTTATGAGGACGAATAAATTATAGTTGTTATACTATGAAGAAAGTGATGGGATTTAAAAAAAAGGTTAGTTAATACCTTTAAAGTAGATTATACTTTGATTTGTTCACGAAAAGTTCTCGAAAAGCTTAAATAAGGATACTAAAGGTAAATATTTACAAATGATAAAATATAATAATAATAAATGTAATTAGATTATTTTAAATTAATGATTAGAGAGCAAACATAAAGTTATAAATTATTAAGCTTAATTTTCAACTTTTTTTTTTTTTACTTTTTAATAAAAAGCTGTAACATAGCTTTTTATTTTTTATTTTTATTTATTTACTTCGTCATTAAAAAAGAATACAATGCCGTGTTATATAAATAAAATCTACATGACCGGGGCTAAAAAAAGACAATATTTATTACTTCGGCTTTATCGCTACGCCCCAACGTGCTTTCATTATCGCTACGCCCCGACGTGCTTTCATTATCGCTACGCCCCGACGTGCTTTCATATTATATGGTAGACAAATTTTAAACTAAAAGTTTAAAACGACTTTATACCATTGATTTACTTATTTCCGAACAGTGCGAACAAAAACTTTTTAAAATTAATATATTACAACATTTTTATTATATACTTGATGTCTGATATTGTTCGATTCGGTTTAAATTTCAGTTTATTTAAAAGAATTAGTTTTACATTCAAAAAAAGAGAGGAATTATTTAATTCTAACACCGATTTGTTTGGAACTTGGGAAATCTACGGTACAAAAAGAAGTTTAAAAAATTTAAAAAGTCCATATAAATGAAGATATTAATAATATAAAGTTATGGGTGGAAGACCGCAATTACTATTACCCGAAGCCGAAATTACTACTCTCCCAACCTAAAGTATCTCATTCATCTGTGAAAATGGCCTAGTATATTACAGTATAATATAAAAAAGTTACAAATAAAATTTCTTACGTGCAGAAAAGTTATCATTCTCTTTAACAAGTTTAAATTTTTAATTATATTTGAAAATATGTCGTTTGTATACTTGTAATAACTTTTTTACCCTTAAAATACTTTATTTCAACCCTTTCCAATGATTTATAACATGTATTTAATCAACTTGATAATGTCACACACTTAGTATGATGTTCTATTTTTAAATTTGCTTCAACTTGTGTTTTGATAGTAACACTTCTTTTTGTTTGTTTAACCTTAAACCTTTTTGTCTTAGACAGTTTTCCCTACTTTTTTCTTAGAAATTATGCTATGACTAATGACATTCCTTACGGAAATATTTCATGGAATTCCATAGGGTTTCCATGGAATTCTACGGAATTCCATGGAAATTCCATGGAATTCTTCGGTTTTTTCATAGAAATCGAAATCTCACGAAAATACCATAGTTTATTATTTATAACTCATGTTGCACCATGAGTTTTACAAATGCGCAAGTACATATTTTAAAGATGCTGTGCCGTTGAGTTTAATTATGGAAAGTAAAATAGTTATCATTATTAAAAGTTTTATAAGTATAGATGTCTGATACATCAAACACGAATTGTATCATAAAAATCTCAAACAGAAATTATGATAAGCTTGTTGATAATTTGAACCTTTCGGTGTAATTTCTTTTGCATTATTGTATGTTTGCTTTAATGCATATTAAAAGCAGATAAAATTTAACAGCTTTACACAACTAAATTAAAACGAATGCAGAAAATATTATTCAAGTTCCACTGTTCCAACTGGACGTTCAGTTCTTTTATTCACTGTATGAATCATGATTCAAACTAAACAAACAGTCATTAACAGCTAGACATACTTGCAATAACTAGATTCTATGCATTATAAAACGCATATATTTATCTTACTCTAGCCTAAAATAAAATAAATATATGCGTTTTATAATGCATCAAAATATGATAGTATCATATAATAATTCATCATAATATGATAATATTTATTTTATTATAGCTATTGCAAGTATATCTAGTCTCCTTATGTCTTTGTATTACAACATGAATGGTTCATGTTGTAATACAAACACATAAGGAGACTAGACATACTTGCAATAGCTATAATAAAATAAATATTATCATATTATGATGAATTATTTTATCATGATGAATCAGTTTGATTTTTAATGTTTTTTGTACTGTCTTTAGTTAGTTTATAAATGTTTGTTGTTAAATCACTATATTGTGTGGTAAATGTTTATTCAGTTTTAAAACATTTTATTTTAAGAGAAATGTTTTATCCAAATTTTGTTCTGTTATTGTTTTTATCTTTTTTTTTTTGCTGTAACCATTCTAGTAGAAATTTAGTGGCAATATAAATGATGTTGTACATCATATCATTAATAAAATTGCTGGTTTTTATATGAATTTAATATATGTTTAAAATATTTTAAAAGCTGTCTAATTAAAATGGCGAGTTGTGTACAAATTATTCGGAAAATATATAAGCGTTATCTTTGGGATACCACTTGTAATGATGTTCCAAGAACAACTGAGTGGAGAAAGAAAACTATGGTAATGTTTTTAAAAATTAGAGAAAGGGAAGTTATTTGATCTGCACGATTTGACTTCACAGTCAAATGTAGACATATAAAAGCAATATTTATAAATAATACGCTCTTATTTTTTATAATTTTTTAAATTTGTTTATATTTAACTAATTGGAAGTGATTGTCTAAAATAAAAATAAATTAATTTATGTATAACCTTCTATATTTATTATGTTTTTATAAGGGCCCTGTCAATCGATTCGAAGTGTCAGTTTCGCTCCAAGATTCGAGTTTTATTCAAGATTTGAGTGTTGTTGTTGTTAAATAGTGTGCATAAATTATTTAATTTTAACTTTATAATTTTATCTAAATTACTGCATTATAAGCAGGGAGGTTTGATTGGTGATGGAAATAATGTTTTACATCTTTCAGATAATTCAGACGAAGAAAAAGTATTCTTTTTTTAATTTTCCATCTAGAAGTAGTAATATATTTGTTTGTATGTCTTGCATTTATACATGTGCATTTATATACGCATAAATCTTTTTATTTTAACTTTATGCTTTTATTTAAATTACTACATTAAAAGCAGGTTTGACTGGCAATGTAAATGATGTTATGCATCAGATAGCTCAGTCGAAGAAATAAGTTTTTAAATTACAATTTATTAGTTATACCTTATTTGTTGCTATAAATTTTGTTTCTTTATTTGTTGTATTTAAATGTTACTTACGTTAAAGTAAATTATAATATATAATATTTATAAGTATAATTAAATTAGTAAGTAAACAAAATTAGTTAGTATGTATATATTAATTTTATGATGTATTGTCTAGATTGGTGAATCTGACAATAATAATAACTTTCGTGAAAACCATAATGAATATCAAAATGTGAATGGTAATTTGTTTGATGGTCCTCTGTATGAAGAAAAAATGTTACCTGATTCTGCAATTACAGTTGGCGGTGCTATTGCACTGCCAACTGTAATTGCAGAATCAGGTTTTTGACAAAACTTGCTTTGGATGATTTGCTCAGTCTCTTGCATATTTTTATACCTAATTTATTGTTACCAAAAACTAGATATTTGTTTAATAAAATGTTTGGTGTCTGCCAAGGCAAATTGGAACAACATTTCTTTTGTAATGAATGCTCTACTTGTATATATTTGGGTACCACTATAAGTGATTTTGATGTTTGTCCAGTTTGTGAAGTAGATGTAAAAAACAGTTTGAAAAGAGATTTTTTTATTGTGCTGCCACTTGAACATCAGTTATGTGAAATGTTAGAAAGTAGTAATTTGTTTGACCTTATTCAGTATTGTTTTGATCGAGTTGAATATAATGCCGACAACATTGAGGACATTTATGACGGATCTTCATATAAATCTATTGCAGAATTGCAACAGACAATAAATATGTCACTGACACGGAATTGTGATGCAGCAAGTGCTTTCAAATTATCTTAAAAAAGTATTTGGCCTTTACAATGTGTAATTAATGAGTTGCCTTTTAATATTCGAAGGAAGCATGTGTTCTTAACAGGTTTATTTACATTCCTCAACTAACACTTTTAAAAAAATAAACATTTTTTTAAAAGTGTTAGTTGAGGAATGTACAAAGTTATTAAATAATGGTTTTTGTGGTTTAGTAAATCTCAGAATAAAAATATAATAAGTAAGGTCTATTGCTTAATATGTTTTTGTGATTCTGCTGCAAGGTGTGTTTTGCAAAGTATTAAACAATTTGATGAAAAATATGGATGTGCATGCTGTTTAAATCTAGGTATTGCAATTAATAACAGTAATGGTGGACCTCCAAAACGTGTTTTTGCTAATCAATTATATCCAAGCAGAACTTTAGATGGATTTGTTGATGATGTGAGGTATCTTGTAGAAAATGAAGATATAAGAAATGGTGTAAAGGGTGCAACTCCATTGTTACTGATTCCTTACTTTAATATAATTGATGGATTTGTTGTTGATTACATGCACTGTATTTAGCTAGGAGTTGCAAAACACATGAGCGTCTTGTGGCTTGAAAAGACCAATGAGCCATCGTATATTGGCAATAAAATTAACAATATGAATAAAATGATGCTAAAAATAAAACCACCTAGTAATATTACAAGAACACCAAGATCTTTACATGAAAGAGCACAGTGGAAAGCCTCAGAATGGCATAACTGGTTGTTATTTTATTCTTCATTTGTTTTGCCTGGTGTTTTATTACAAGTTTATTATAATCATTTTTTGTTACTAGTGGAAAGCATTTACATATTGTCAAGCGAAAGTATTAGTCAGGCAGACCTAGATCTGAAAATCAATTGCATGTGTTTGTGTCAGATTTTAATGCTATATATACCATTGATTATATGACTAACAATATTCATTTGTTACAGCATATTTCTTCTACTGTTCGTGAGTGGGGTCCATTATGGGACCCCACTCACAAACATTTCTAACTTTATATTTGAGAAAAGCAATGGTTTTTTGTTGGACCTTTTCAAGGGTACACAAATTGTACCACTTTAGATATGTTTTACCTTTACCCTTTACAGAAATTTGCCAATTATAAGTGCTAAATATTTAAATTCAGCACCGGAATCTGTTTTAAATTTTTTTGATAATTTTTTTGACATCTGGAAAAGCTGCTAGCGTTACAGAAAATGTAAAACTTTTTGGTGTACTAAAGTATAAGTTTCTAACTAATGTTGAAAAACGTGCTTTGGAGACAATTTTACATAATGTAGTTCCAGATCAGTTAGCTTTTTTCAAAGGAGGAGTTGTAATAGAATTAATTACTGTGCAGTTGTGCGAGATAATATACTGTGTCTTGTTAGCTCATTTGTTATTGTTAATAATGAATGTTATGAATTCTTGATTAAACTCACTACAGAGAGATGTGCATTTCTATCTCATCGTGCTATATCTAGACATATTATGACAACTACTGGTTCTAACAGTAATACTTTGGTTGCCATGTTTGCTAATGAAATTCAGCAAAAGTGTTTATATGTGTTTTCTCTTGTAACATATGTTTGCTTTCTGCCCAATCAATGGGAAATTGACTAAATAGTTCCAAATTGCATTTGGTTTATTCTGTTTATATAAATCTGATGCTTTATTTATTTATTTAAATGTAAATTGCGCTTGTTTTATTATGCATTGTGTATCTTATTTTAGCTGTTGTAAGTATTATATATAACTTAAAGGTTTGTTGAATTTATTAGTACGTTTGTTTTAAAAATAGTAATTTCATTATTATTATTATTATTATTGCTATTATTGCTATTATTATTATTATTATTATTATTATTATTATTATTATTATTATTATTACATTATTTTTTTTTATAATCTACGAATTTCTCTAAAATTGTTTCCTTTATTAACAAATCTTTTATAGTTATCAATAATATAAATAAAATTGATATCATATGTTTACATTCAGTATTGTTAATTGTTTTGCTCAGTGTCAGGTTAGACAGCTGTTGTCCCACCCCACCCCCACATTCCCAAGTTAGTTTTAAAGAGATGGATAAATTTTTTTCATTTTGTGTGAATAGTTTTTCAACAATTTTTTTTATGTTATAGTTATGAAATATATTAATTCCTTGAAGATGAGTTATGCTTTAGTGTTTTGGGTTAACACGCCAGCAAACTTTAATTGTGCCTTCAATTGCTGATTAGTGACAAGCGAATGCTTACTGACAGTAAACAAGTTGGCAAGATCAAATGGATGAACGAAAAAAAGAAAATATCTTCAAAAGGATGGTCTTCACATGATGGGCTTGTTCTTTTAATTAGTGGTAAAAATACTTGGTTAATATATTATTATGGTCGATTTACTATGTTTTTTTATAGATTTTCATTAATATTTTTATTAGACAATTGATTTGAGCAAAGAAGAAAATAAATATTGGGCAGAAAAAGATAATTATGATTCAGATACTAGTAAGAGTTCTCTGTCATCAAATGAAAGTCATCATGCTTTATTCGATGAAGAATCAGAACAAAAGAAATTAAAAATACAAGTTGGTAACTCGGAAAATAAATTAAAGCAGAAAGTTAGTGTAGTCTAATTTTATTCATATAAGTTACATTTTTTATTTTAATAGCTTAATGATAAAAGTATTTAAATGTTTTTTAATAGAGTTTTTTAAAAAGTATTTAAATGTTTTTTAATAGCTTAATGATAAAAGTATTTAAATGCGCCATAAAAAAAGGGTTTTGAGAAAATTTGTTGTTATCAATATATCTATTTATCTTTTTATTTAAATAATAAAAAATTTAATAATTCGTTTTGTTGTAATTTTTATGGATTTTGTGTTCTTAATTTTATTTATATTTAAATTCTAAAAACAAAAAGACAACATAAAAATAAGATAAAATTTTAAATAAGTTTTCTCTGAATTCTCTGAATATAATATACTATCAAAAAATGAAATATCAACATTTAATACACTTATTAAAAATGTCAAATTAATTTCTAATTATTAATCTTAGAGGGAAGGTTATGCAACAAAATCCTTCAACAAAAGGATTTTATCTGTTATTTCAAGCAATGGTTATAATGAAAATGAAATAGATAGTGAAAATCTGGATAAAATGCCCTGGTTTTTACAATCAGAAAATGTGACAGCTATGTTAAAACCTTTAAATACTGCAAGATTAACGGCGTCTTCAAATTGTTCAAAGTGGCTATTTGTCATTATGATATATGTCATTTGATATTTACATTGATATTACGATATTTGTCATTTGATATTTACATTGATATTACGATATTTGTCATTACGATATATGTCATTACAATATTTTTTACAGTGGCCACTGTACAAAAATATCGATGGTAATGTTTGACCTTTTATTTATTAATTGACAGATTTTTGTTAGTTGTTTTTAATTTCCTCTTGTTTTACTATTTATTAGTTTATTATTAATTTGATTAATAAAAAATAAAAACAGGAATTATTGTTAAAGATTGTTTAATTTAAATTATTTAACAAAAATCAATTTAATCAATAACATGTATAATACACCTCATTTTGATAAATCTGATAATCAACACTATTTGAACCATTTAAATTTGTGCAACTAATAATTTGTTAAATATATCTAAATATCAGAATGTTTATACCCTACAGAAATTGCTGTTATGACTGTGCACAGTGGGCCAGAATGGCAAATTTTGAGACAAAACTAATAACTTATTTATTATTAGTTCTTTATTCATCAAATTTGGCACACATACTAATACGAGGGCTGGGTTTTTTTTGAAAGTTTTTTTTATTTTGTTATTTGGTTGCTATGGATACCTTATTTTGCATAGAACAAGTTTTTTTGGGAGTTGCAGGTTTTCTATTTATGCTATTTTCACTATACTTGTTATGCGCATTTATATGAAGTCAATGATATTTATGAATATAGTATTTTTCTATTTGATTGCCTAATTTTGCATAGGAACAACCTTTTTATGCTAGTTGCAGTGTTTATTTGTACTGTGTACAGTATATTTAGTACTTATATTTCTTATTGTTTCTATAATTATTATTTTTTATCGATTGCCAGACATGAAAAAAATGGTTTTGTCCACTACTCGGGCCATTGTGCATGTATCCCTTTCTTACATTACCAAAAATTTTCATAAAACCTAGCTAAAGATCAAAATATGAAAACTATTATTTTTATCTTGTTATTTTGTAATAACGTAAACTAAGTCCTATTGTATTTTAAAGTTACCTATACCTTCACAGTTAAACATTTGCTATTGAAAACATATTTTTTTTGTGGTTTTACAAACAATAAAAGTATTTGACCAAATTATTTAATCAAAAGTTTATCAAAAAAATATTTAGCATTGCTGATAAGTTTATAAAAATTAGGCAATGATTTTAAGATAATTATATTGTTTTTTAGTATAGTAACTCATACAAATTCATGTACAAAATATTTATGAAATGTAGCCTAGATTTTATTTTAGAAAATGAAAAAATGTGAATTACACCATTATATAAGAGAAAACAATTAGAGTATTTATCTAAATAAAACAATAATATTTTAAATACATGTATTGGTGGTAATAGTTTAAAAACAGATCAATTTATTTATTTTGTTGTTTAAAAAAAAAAATAATTTAGAAAAAAGAAAAGAAATTTAGCTCCTTGTTAAAAAAACTTATATGCAAAAAACTAAAAAGTTAAAAAAAGGCGGAAGACCAGAAATCAATTTCAATAGAGCATCATTTAAAACAAAACAAAGAAGAATAAGCAGTTTGGTGACGAAAATACGCCAGAAAAATTAATATATGCTGCAAGTAAAAAATTTAAAAAAATAGTAAATTTACCATGCGCGAAAACATTTTCAGTTGATAAAGCGCTTGCTTTAGTTTTAGATTGTGGGCTGACTAAAAATGCGCATCAAATTATAAGATCTGCAGCAGCAATTAAAGGCCACAATAACTTATATCCATCATATAATAATGTTAAAGAATCTAAAAAACAATGTTATCCAGATATGGAAACTTGGGATGTTGACAGTTATTCAGAATCTCATAAATCATACTGCATTAAGATTTTACTCTTTACAAAGTTATGCTCTTTCACAAAGCTGTATATCAAGATTCCTTTAAACATCAAATGTTGATTTTGATGGTGCAATAGGTCAGACAATATACAAACAATTTGCGCCAGATCAATATGTACGCAATCTTAGTATTAAAGGAAGCCTGTTTATTACCTGCTTTGTTCCATTAATTTGTTCCAGTTAAGTGGAATTATTGATACAGAAAAAAAAGTAATCTAGCTTAATCCTTGTCCTTCTTCAACAATGTTTTGTAGACCAATAAGGTTTAGATATGTAAAAGAAACAAATAAAGTCTTCAAAGCAGAGGAACAGTTTATTGAAAGTCAAAAACTTAAACAGTCTTATCAAATGGTTCAACAGTGCAACATATATTAGAATTAACCATGATAAATGGAAAGGTTGCTAATGCACTGTCTAAAAAAACAAATTCAGCTCAATATTGCCCAGTGTGTGGAATAACTCCATCCAAGATGAATAACATTGATGCATGCTAAAAAAAAAAGTTACGATTTATAAACTGGCTTGTCAACATTACATGCCTGGATAAAGTGCATGGAATGCTTTTTACATGTTGCCTACAAGTTTGAAATAAAGAAATGGCGAGTATATGGAGTTGTTGAAAAACAGTCTGGAAAAAAAAAAGAATGAATTTCAATGCAAATTAATTGAAGAAATTGGTTTGATTGTTGACATGCCTAAAGCTAATGGCTATTTTATGAATATATTCATAAAATTCTTTTTTCATTGTCATTAAGTTATAAAAAGAATGTTTCTTCCAATAGGCATGTTATCAGAAGAAGCTCAAGAAGCAACAAAAAAACTTTTAAAAAAAATCGTAAACATTTTAGTTGTAAAATGTCCCGAGTGAAGAAAAATGAAGACTTACTAAGACGACTACTATGTTCATCTGATCCATATATATATGCAGTTTGAGAAAAACCAGTATTAAATTCTAATAAAATTCAACTTCCACAGGAACCAATTCAACTATTAAAATTGTCAGGCTTTAAACATAATATTTAAGTTACATTCTTTATTAGAACAATTTTGTTATTTTAATTTGAATTATTGTTGGTATAGCTACAATGCAGTGTTTCATAAATAATTTACAATTACAATGTTTTATCTTTCCTATAAATGTAATATAATGTTTACCACACTAGCATAGAAACAGGGGGCGAAGAGGACGATTGCCCCCCTCCCCCAACCAACCCAAAACTCCTATTTTTCATTCTAATACTAATTCTAGCCCTCTTTAATTTTTTCAGCCCACCTAACTTTCTTGACCTTCCTAAGCCACTGGTTTACGATACTTTAATTTATACATGAAGTTTGTTGTAATATATTAAATTCACAGTTATATTTAACATTCGCACAAATACCAAGTATTTTATGAGTTTTGTATAAAACTGAATATGACAACAAAAAAAATTGTTGCTATAAAAAATGTGGTATCCATAGAAATCAATTATAAAAAAATACCCTCGAGGCGGCGACCTTATATTTTTACTAATTTTAAATTTAGTTAATATAACAACATCGGTTAAATTCTCTATTAGTTTTTCTTCAAAAATACCTATTCTGGTCTGCTGTGCAATGCACCCCCTCCTCTCTCCAAACTTTTTTCCTTATTTTAAACTTTATTATAAAAAATAATATAAATTTTTGTAAATATAATATTAAATATTGAAAAAAAAAACAACTTTTCCCCCTCCCCTGACATGAAAACCGAGGCTACAATTACAGATTTTACTCAGTATACACCTTTAAAATAGATAATGCAGTTGCAGTTGCAAACAGTTGCAAAAAAAAAATAAAAACATTAATTCTTCATAGATATAAATATTATGTAGGCTACATGGTTAAATGTCAGTCGCCGTCATTTAAAAGTTCTAGAACATTTTCAATTAATTTTTTGTGAATAGTTAAGTAAAATAAGTATACAATATAAATTACAGTATGCCAACTTTAATAAATAAACCATTTAATTAATAATTGCATCAAACTTTAAATTGTTGATGTACT